ACGGCTCGATCTTTCTTGCCCCATCAACAACTTGACGCTTGTTCCCGAGACATCGTCTCTATCTTGAATCCGGGACGTCACGCATTTTCCTTCCCATCTCACTAGTCATTTGTGTCTTTCTTACTGATTTAGCTCTCTCCTCTGACCTGGACCGTTTCTCGGGCCACACAAATTCCATCGTCTCGACCCAGCTCGGGGCTGTGTATGACATCTGTACGATGACGACTCGCACGTTACACGGATGCACCGGACCTCGCCCCTCACCTGCAAAGTCACGTGCATGCAAGTGCTCAAATGACACCCGCCGACGCGGCGGAAGGCCGTGCTCTCCTCGGCTGGCTGCATCAGGCCCTGCCACCCCACACGAGCTCTGGCAGTGTCCCCTTGCCACTTCCCCGTGACCTTCTCCTCTCCCAGAACCAGGAGTGGCTTTGGGACTTGCTTGTACTCGACGGCACGTGGCAGCGGAAACACTGCATGCGTGACTCAGGCCGGGCCAGGAAACTGCATGCGTGTCCGAGTCTCTCTCCAAAACCTCCCACTAGAGAGCCCGTCACCACACGTGGAGAAGCTCGAGCCACACGGAGAGGCCACGTGCAGGTGCCTCCAGTGACGGTCCCCAGCTGGGACCAGCCTTTGAGTCATTCAGTTCAGGCACCAAATGACTCCAGCCTTCGGCCATTTTCCCAGCTGAGGCCCCAACGTGGTAGAACAGAGAAGCCACCCCGGCTGTGCCCTGTCCAAATTCCTGACCAGAATCCCTGAGAATAGTAAAATGGTTGTTTCGTACCCTTAAGTTTGGAGCTGCTCATCACAAAACCAGAACGAATGTGTACTAAACATCTCCAGCAGACCCCAGACCAAACTCCCAATTGTCTTTCCTCAGTTCCCCGTCTTCCCTGTCCCCCACCCTCCAAAGCCCCTTTGTTCTTAGAACCTCTCTCAATCCCATGGAATATCCTGTCAGCGCTGGGCCAAAATCTCGACAGCCATTTTGACTTCTCTCTTCCTTCATTACTACACACCCTGTCAACCGGGACACCCAGAGGGCTCTCCCTTTAACACATATTCCAAGTCCCATCCAGTTACACCCTCGTCCACTGTCACCAGCGTCCAGATCGCCATCATCTTTCACTGAGGTCCTGCGAGAGCTTCCGAGCTGGCAGCCCAACTGCTCCTTTCTGAAGTCGTATCAAGTCCTTCCCGTGTTCCGAACCCTCCCGCAGCTTCTCCTCTGGGAGTAAACGCCAAAGTGGTCTTGGAACCGTCCCCAAGACGCCACCCCGTCCTGTCACCTTCCCGCCTTCTCCTGACTCTGCTCCAGCCACGCGGCCTTCCTGCCGTTCCTCAAACGCTCCGGGCGCGCCCCGGGCCTGGAGCTCTTTGCCCGCAGGTACATACAGGGCTGGCGCCTTCACTTCAAGTCCCTGCTCCGACGCCCCGAGTCTCAGTGAGCCCCGCCACGCACGGCCATCTGCGATTCGGCCACTCCCACCGGACTGCTCACGCCCAGAGCTGCAAGATGAATCACAGCAGGGCCAGCTAAATTTGAATTTTAGATCATTTTTAACATAAACATGCCCCATGCAATATTGGAGACCTGTCTATACTAAAGAAAAAAATTAGCCGTTGCTTACCTGAAATTCAAATTCAACTGTGCTCTATATTTTTAGATGCTAAACCTGGCAACCCTCCCCACGCCCTGTACCCGACTTTTCTTTCTATCATCGTTATCAACTTAACGTACCGTGTAACCGGCCCATCCTTTTGCCAGAGTTAAAGCTCTGTAGAGACGTTTTTGTCTGTCGAGGTCAGTGTTGTGCGCTGGTTCCTAGAACAAAGGCACTGAAAGCTTAGCGATGGACGAGGGGACCCCAGTTCATCAGGCTGCGGGGCTGGCCAGACAGGTGGTTGGCCCGCGCTCACGGAGCTCAGGTGGCAGGTCAGTACCTGGACGCAGGTGGTCTCCTCCTGGCGAGCTGGTTTAACCACCAGGCGCGCTGTTTTAAACACATTTTAAGAATGTGCGTTTTTTATCATTTTCTTTCCTGGCCTCCTACCCCCTCCCCTTTTATAGAAGGATATTTTACAGATGTGTCTCAAGCTGTACACTTGCTCAAAGTGGAAGGGTAAAAAAAACCTGTTTTTCACCATTCTGATCACGAAAAAAAATAATAAAGCCACCGTGTGTCCGTGTGGCAGAGAGCATAGGATGTCACACCGGCCCGGCTTCGGAGTATTTTTAATGTTTTCTCCTAAGAAACTTGAACCCGAAAGATCCCCAAACACATCTCCATTCTGAGCAGACTGACCTCCCTCCCTTCTCCCCCGCGAACCCGCCGTCGTCATTTTGATGTGCCTCTGATTCCACGGATTTCCTTCCAGGTCCTTCTGCACCGAAGACCTTCTACGCTCCCTCTCCCCTTCTCTGATCTCCCAGAAGCGGCTCGCCAGATCCTTCGGCCGAAAGTCGCCCCTCTAACCTCTGGTGACCCTTCGCCTAAGCCGACAGTTCCTTTTTATTCCGTATCATAGTGTGTTCGATTTTTCACTTCAAATGTACAGGGAAAAAACATAATAAACACCTGGTATACCCAGATGCAAAAAACGTTAACAGTTTGCCATATTTTCTTTATCTGCCCTGATCTTCTGAACAATGTTTCCGAAAGACTTGGGAGAAAAGGGACACTCTTCACCTACACAGTAAATTACTGAAGTGACATGTCATCCCGCATCCCGTCACACAAGGTCTTCCCTCCTGAAGCCATGTGCTACACAGAAGTGTCTGGGTATGACTACACGTTTTATAAATAGTAAGAACTCACATTTGCACTTTTATTGCCTAGGATAGACCGCGGTAGGCGTTTAAACCCTTTTCCCGTTCAGAAAAAAAAAAAAGTGCAGCTCGCTGCCCGCGTCCCCAGAACGTCACGCACAGGGATGCTACGTTTCCTAGGGCTTGACGTTTTCAGAGACCGGGAATTGCGTTATTTTGTAAACGGAAACACCACTACTAAAAACAGAATGCTATAAATAGAATGATGTCATTTGTCCCCAGTGACTATCGATGTACTAGAGCGATGCAGAAATAACAAAAGCGAGATATTTCGTGGCGAACTTTGAGGGTGAGGTGAGGACTGCGATCCGCGAATGACCTCGGGGCGAACGAGCAATGGGTTATCAGATACCTGACGATCAAGATCCGCCACCATTTTACCCAAAGACCAAAAATTCCTCCAAGACGCACAGGAAACATTAAGCCTTTTAAAGTCCCGTCAGTCGACAAACAGCGTCTTGTTAAATGAACTGGTAACAAACAAACAAGGCCAGCTTCTCTCTGTAATTCTTTATTAAAAATATTGCTGTACACATAGAGACTGAAAACAGGATTAAAGATGAATAACCCATATTGGGATCATGACGTCAGAACTTAACATACTGGTGTTTTTTAGGGAAGTTTTCGTGACATCCAAATCACAGAACCAAGGTCAAAAGCAAAATACAAAGGTACCCTCAAAAATATTTACAATGAAGTAAATACAGCAACTGAACTTAAAACAGGTACAAAAAATTGAAGTGACCAACGCTACATGATTTCAAGGGCTGTCCCTTCTGTGCTTTTCTGTCATGACAGGAAGGTACGGGAAGTTTACATCCTTAATTCGACTACTCTCAGATATCAAAACCTTCCTATGAATTAAAAAGACTAACTTTCAGACAACCTCTGACATGGAATTACACTATGGAAAAGAGGGCTCCCCAAAAAACACCCCGGCAGAACCAAGAGTTCTACTGAAAACCATTCCCAATAAAAACTAAATGAAAAATAAATATAAAACAAAGCTTAAAAAAATATGTATTACCTGACACCAATTGTTTTCTGGCTGACAATATTTACCCATGAAAACTATCAGCTGTCTACCTTTTATATTCACCCAAGTCCTGAGGTTACTAGGGGCTGAAGCGAACTAGCATTTTTGACGCAAACGTCCTGGGTGTGTGACTGGGTCTGCCTTGCACAGGGCGGTTTGCTGGTCTGTACAGGAGGAGAGATTCGAGCCCTGTTTTACCCCTGACCTTTTCGAGCTTTCACAAAACATTGGTCCCCAAATTAAATTTTCAAAAAGTTCCCAGGCCCCAAAACTAAAATAGATGATCCCCTTTCATTTTCAAAGAAAACAATATTGGAAAAAATCTCCAGCCCGCTTATAAATTAAGCATTTCATATTTCTTCTAGAATACAAGTAGTTCTTTTTTGTACAAAAGAATTACAATATGATTTGTCAAAAAACATATAAAAAGACAGCTGCTCTTCCTCAAATACATGAGCTAATGATAAAAGACTTTTGCACGTCAAAGTCTCCGAGTTCTTGTTCCTTTTGCATAAAAAGAACAATATGGTGGCAAATGTTAATTATCCCTTGAATAGTGAACATTATGTTCTTTTAAAATCCATCCAGATCAAATGCGATAATTGATTTCCTTTTGAACTCAACCACTGACGCTACCGCACGGATTCGAGCGAGCACACCTGCTAACGCGCGGACGGCGCGCCCCTAGTCTTCAGAGCTGTCAGCCGAAGAGAGGTGCTTTTTCTCGACGCGAATCTCAAGGCAGAGAAGATCACTTTAAAGCTTATAAAAAGTGGACAGAGAAATAGTAAAAACTTCTCTGAAAGCTACAAATACGTGTAATTTTAAGACTGGAGACCGTGACATTGGCTACGAGCGTCTGGACGCCTTCCTGACCTTGGACTGTCCACGCCGTCGTGACAGCTGCGTGGTGAGCACCCAGGGCTAGTGAAACATTCAGTGCTGGGAAAGGAGAGAGTCTTCGTTACTGCTTTGTAAGAAAGAAAATTCCTATGTGTTTGGCAGTCTTCAGTATCAAAGCACAGGGCATTTCGTTAACTAGAAATCCCACGAACACCCAAGTTTGGCGACAACTGCACGTCCGAATGCTAAGAAAGTTCGGAGGAGGAAAACTCCAAACTTCTGAGATTGACTTATTCAGGAACGTCCCGCACGGTTAGGTTATTATCAAAAGTTCTATGACTTTGGGCTAAGCAGCGACTGCGAAGGCACAGCAGATGGTTGTCCCCGGGTTCGGGCTGTCCAGGTCCGGAAAGCTCTCGGTGCCAGCCCACTGCCGGGTTCGGTTCGGCCTCTGAACAGGGTCTCTGCGGAATCCAGTGTAAAGAACCATAACAAGGCTGTGGGTCAAAGAACAGAGCTTCATACAGAAAAGCGAACTGGAAACACGCGAAAGCCACATAGTCCTGAACTGCGGGCCTGTAACACAATTTCTTAATTTTTTTTTCTATTTCCAAAAAAAAAAAAAAAATCACATAAAACGTGAGTGTATCTGACTAGCAGAAAAACACTTTCAGAAAAAGGCTCTGGCTGAATTTGGAGCAGAGAGCTCGAGGTGCCCCTTCAATTACCGTTTATCCAATTTTTAGTCAGAAAGGGTTTCGATCAAGTAACAGGGGAACTCACATCCGACAATTCACTGATCTTTCTCCTGTGTGTTCTCACAAACGAAACGAAACGAAAACCCCAAGTCTCAACCTGCACGACGGGGGCACCCGGAGCTCGCGTACAGCACGCCCAGGAGCGGCAGACACGACGTCGCGCTCCCGTGACGCCGTCTGCCTGGCCTGGCCCCGCGCTCGGGCAACCCGTGCCACCCTCGGGGACAGACATGCCGCCGGAATCGTTCCTCAAAACGTCCTTGCACAACAGATTCCCTTAGTAAGTATACGACGTGGCGAAAGTTCAAAGATCAGAAAAAAGTCTTTAAAAAATTAAAATTAGTGCATATACAAGTGGAAAAAAGAAAAGCTGGAACGTCATTCACCTAACGGTGCGCCTTACTCTAAAATAAACTCTGCGCAGACGTGGCCCCAGCGGCAGCCGCGGCTCCAGGATGCGTGCGACACTCCCGCCTTCGAGCGACAGGGGGCCCGGCAGACGCGCCCGCAGCTCTGCCCGTCCGCCGTCTGCTTCCCAGGGTGAAATGAGGTGACGAACGCGGTCGGCTGGAGCGCGACCCGCTGCTGGCCAGGCTCCCCGGCCGCGTCCCGCGTGTCGTCCCGCGTGTCGTCCCGCGTGTCGCCAGCGAGTACTACAACTGACCGTTGGCAGCTGCGATCAGCTCCTGGAAAGTGTTTTCGAAGCAGCGCTTGAGGTCACTGTACGTCACCACGAGCACGCTCTTCTCGTCTCTGGAGGTGAGGCTGATTTTTTCCGGCACGCCAGCGTCCAGCTGAAACGGAGAGAGGCACAGAATGAAGTCCCCCGAAACGATCCAAGGCGTTCGCCACCTTCCCTTCTGGGGCTGCGTGAACATTTTACATCCCTAATTAGCGCGCGGGCACGCGAGGCGGCTCACGTGCTTGTCTTTCCTTTTCCCTTGAGTCAAATATAACGTTTACTAGACAGGCGGATACAACTAAAGGGCGCCAACAGAGAGAAGCGACTATGTGGGCCGCGTCAAACGAAACTCAAAACGCGCTCACACCCCGCCCCAGGGGACAGCCCTCCCGGCTTCCCCGAGGGCCGCGAGGCAGCCGGGCCCGGCGCCTGCCACCCACACGCCGCCCCGACCCCTTCGTGCGCTCCACACTTGTTTGCGTGCCATTCTGCCCGGTCCGCACTCGGTTCATCGCTTCCCCAACATCGCCCAATTATTTTTGTATCACGAATTACAATGCAATGAACACATTCATCTACTTATTGTTTTTCTTCTACAGAATTACCTCCTTAGGAAAAAGACTTATTTACAGGTCAGTCCATACAGCCAGCTGCTGACCGAAGGGTGCCAGAGGGCAGCTGGAGAGCGGGACCAGCTGGGGTGTGGGACCCAGCCGGGGAGCAGGACCGGCTGGATTTGGCAGTAAGATTTTAACGAGGTCTTTACAAGGCATAAATGCTAATCCTTACTCCGTCCAATAACTTAATAATGCTTTTCACTTTATTTTTGTTAGTTTTCAATGTGCCTTTTTCCTTCATTTTTTTATTCATTCATTAAAATGTTTAAAACTAATTCTGAAGACTCAAACTTTCAAATCATTTTACCAGTTAATTTCAGTCATTTCTATCAAAGTAAGCTATGTAAAATTTTAATTTACATATCATCGGTAAGGCCATCCAACCTTTTTAATTACCCTTTCAAATTCAGAAAACAGTCACACTTTCAGATTTGAAATAAATTCCATTTACTACTAGTTATATGATAAAATAAATTTTCTTTAAATTTTCAATTACCCGGATTCATTACGAAAATCCTTGCTAAGACATCTGCCACAGCGCACACCATCGGGCCCACCCGTTTGCGCGTCACCCGTGACGCGCGCTGTGGTCACTGAGTCTCTGATGCTATGCATACGATTTCCTAAGATCTGACAGAATGATTCTCCGCTCACTGCTCTCAAGAAAAATGTTTTTCCCTTAAGGGAAAAAGGCAAATGAATACATAAACCGTACCGGATTAGTTCAACGGTACACACAGTTTGGTTCTGTCTGAATGCAGGTTACTGACGGTACTCGCTGAAGAGTTTTAAGGAAATTCAAACAAGGCAAAGTGCTGCTTAAAACAAAATGCCAGGACCGCTCCCCTGGACGGCTGCTTAGCACAGTTAGCAGTTCTAAATCACGGCCAGAGGGGGCCTGTCTCCCCTCGTGCTTGCACAGAGGGACAGTTTGCACCCGGGCACGGCCAGAGAAAATGCTTTAAAGTTCAAGGCCACACACAGCCTTCTGCCACATAAGTCTTCTCAGCTGGCAGGCTATACGAAAACAGGCCACCGATCGGATCTGGCCCGTGGACCACAGTGTGCCGAAGCGCTTCAGTCATAAACCTGTCCAAAGGCGAGGGTTTACCTCTGGACACCCATTCTAAGCGCCGTAACTCCACCAAATTCATAAGAAAAACGCATTTCTTCCTTCCTCCGTACACTGCATCTGCCCTTTTAAAAACACAGAGCTCGCCTCTCAAGGAAATTTATGACGTATCTTCATCTACTTAATTCATCTGACCGCCTAATTTACAACGCTGGGCCTGCGTTAGCAGCTCGAGCTTTTCATTTGCACGGCACCTGCTGGGTGTACACCTGGGGCCAGCAGTAAATGAGCTGGTAACATGCAGGACATTCAACATGGCTGACAGCGACTTAGAATTCAGCTTTTTAAAAACACCTGAGCACAGACTATTTTTCTGATTTTCCTACTCAATGTTTTATTCGATATAACAAAATAACATGTAAATAAAATACAGTATGAGAGAAGGAAAAGGCAGTCATTTTGTGACATTTATCACAATAAAAAGATCCACGATGAAAAATTCTAGTTATTCACGCAGGTGTTAAAAAAAACAAAAACCCTTCCAGTTCTAAAAATTAAGTAGATACACCTAGAAACTATTAATAAAATGTCTTGCAGGAAACAGCAGAGTACATCTTAACTTCTTAAGTCTCTTAGTATTTGTAGAGGATGCGACTCTACAAACCGTAGATAGCATTATGATTTAAAAATCGATACAAATTACCTTGTTAAGACAAGAAATGATATGACTGAGGTCAATCCAGGGAGCGCCCGCTTCAGTCACCTGATGAAAAAGATGATCCCTAAACAGTTTCAACAGGTAACGGTCTCCAGTCTCTGACCAGGTGGGATCCTTCTGAAACCTGGGAAGGTAACATTTCACCTCAGTAACTCGTCCGTATGCCGCATGGCCGTGTGCTTATTCTTCTCCAAAAAAATAGAGGTTTTTGTGTTTTTGTGGGTTTTTTTGTTTTTTGTTTTTATCCCTAAGGGTTTTTTTTTAATCCCAGAGGCTGCAAATTTTTATTTTTCACATTTTAATCCCAGATTGCCCAGACTTATTTTTAAAAACTAATGTCACTTAACGTGAACGTATGCGCAGAGCAGTTTCTAATTCTCAAGGGCAAACACCCCTTATCTGACCGACTCTCTAATCGCTTCCGTATGTGGGCCCTTACCATGAGATAAAACGGGGAAGGAAGAAATGTGCTCAGATGGCTTTAGAGACAGGTTACAGGGAAGGGGTTTTCTTCCTCCCACCCTTAGGTTACAGAGTGGAAAGATGGTCAGGTGTGAGATCGACTTCACTGGTGAGAACGGAAAAACGTTTAGGCAACAAAGACGGGGTCGGTTTGGGTTCCTGCCACCATGTGAGGTGAGAGCGGCTGCGAGGATCTGGAGCACGGACCAGATTCCCCGTCAGTGTTCAGTGACCTCTGCAATTTATGGTCTAATAGGAAAAACAGCAAATAACCAAAACGAGTCGGAATTGTATCTTTAAATAATGCTGTTAAGAAAAAGGAATCTGGCCCAGAGGAGAAACCTGCATTGGTCTGCGGAGGTAAGGAAGGCGGTCCCGGGAGCGGACACCTCTCAGAGCAGCAGGTTTGCAGGGGCAGAGCCTGGGGCAGGTGAGAAAGGGCGGTGTGGCTGGGGGAGGGGCTGGGGGACAACAGACGGGAGCAGAAGAGGCGAGCAAAGGGGAGGCCGAGAGTACACCGACAGCGGGGGACAGAGAAGCCAGGACGAAGAGAGAGGAGGATAAGACCAACGGAAAATAAACGCAGCTCCGAAGCAGGAGCGGAGAGGGCAGACCGCGCAGCCTCGGGTCGTCAGAACGCCAGGTCTGCGTCCTAGGATCGCGTGGGGACGCCGCCCCGCGCAGACGCAGCATGTGAGCGCTTCGCAAAGACCATGCCAGGCACTTCCAATTCAAGCTGCTTAACCACACCATCTCCCTCTATCCCCTTGCAAGTCCCCACCGAACGGACAGTCAGTGCCTTTGGAAAGGTACGCACACAGGGACAAGGGGAGCAGACCAGCAAGGGCACACGGGAAGGTGGAAGCAGAGGGGCGGCGCTGAGACTCTGCCGACCTGAGGGACTGAACTGCAGCGCCACACGGGGCGCGAGAAGGGGCGAGACCACAAGCCGCAGCCACGCCACGAGACCTGCCACCCCGCGCCATCGGGCACCATGAAGGAGCTGGGGGACGGAGGCTGGAGCAGCAGAAGGGACGAAGGGCTCTAGAGACAGCAGCAGCCATCTCTCATCCCCGCCGCCAGTCCGCCTGGCAGAATCTGCCAGAAAGGGCACCGGAAACCTTTCCAGAGCAGGTGGACAGAGGCTCTCCAGGCGCCAGGACGCCGGGCCAGGCAGGAGAGGAGGCGAGGTGGCAGGCTGCTCGGCCAACGCTTCCCCCGCCTGGCTCCCCAAAGCGTGGCAGCAGGTTTACGCTCCAGGGAGAAGGCTAGCAGACTCTTTTCTGGAGATGCTGCCCAACAGAAATCCTGACAGGGAGTCTACCAAAAGCAAAAAAAACCAATCACACCTGACAGTGTCCGGATCACTGCTTTAAAAGGCATGCATCCTGCTTTATCACAGCCCAGCCCCCAAAGAGAGCTTCCCATTAGCTTTTTAGGACCTCATTTTTAATACAAACCAACAGCCAAGGATCAGAAATCTTTTGGAGAATAAACAAAACAAAACAAAGCAAATTCTTGTTTCCTATGAGATGGTGCAGGGAACAGAACAAAACCAAAAAGCAAAAATCTCTGACAGCCTCAGAGAAACAAAATTAGATGCTGTAAGAGAAAACACTGAAAGCAGAGAGTTCTTGAAAATTAAAAACGCAGAAGTTCAAAAATTCAAAGGATTAGGAAAAAAACCTTTAATTTTAGACAAAATCAGTTGAGATAATAGCCTAGAAAGTAGAACAAAAAGATATGGCACAAAAAAATGATGAGAATATCAAATCAACTGCAAAGTCTAACATCTGAACAACAGGACTTCCTCAAAGACAGAAGCTGCCCAAGAAGCAACAACGAAGAACACACTTTCCCAAGATTAAAAGGGCCCACGTGTCAATTCATCAGAATGAACCAAAAAGCCACACCGAGGCACATCGGTATGAATTTCCGAACATCGGTGATAAAGACAAGACTCTAAAAGCATGGGAAGAATTTGGAAAGAAAATCGCTTTGAATCTGCCTGGAAGTTAAAAAGCAACAAAGAAACGCTTCAAAATTTTGAACGGAACTATCATTAGTATTACTCCACTGTGTACTAGAGGTACTAGCTAACACAATCTTTAAAGAGAAATTAAAAGCATAGAAATTAAGGAAGAAATATAACTTCCAATATCTGAAGATAGGACCATATACCTGGAAACCCAAGAGAATCTACTGGGAAAACTAACCAAACAATACGGTAAAGGCAGGGTACAAAATTTACAGAAATCAACCATTTTCATATAACAAGCAGTCTAAGAAGACAGACTGGGGTGCGGGGTGGGGTGGGGGGACTCCCATTTATAATGGCAACGAGAAAACATACCTAAGAATCAACTTGGTGTGCTCTGCCTACAAAGAACAACTTAAACACCGAGGAGACAAAAGCAGACGTCGACGAGTACGGTGACACACCTATCTTGGTTAAGATAACCTGACACCTAAAAACACAAATGCTCCTTAAGTTTATTAAGAAATCTAACATGTTGTCTTCTCTATAAAATGCCATCAGGTTTACCGATTTTTAACTGAAACAAGCTGACTCTAGAATTTATAAAGAAAATTTAAAAATTTTAGGACAAACAAGAAGATGGGAATGGTCAGTACTGGATTCTACCACGTCAGTCACTAAAACAGACACCACCCTAAACCAGAGCAGGGAAACTAGACTACTCCATAAATAGCTTCTAGACCACAGGAAAGTCTTCCGGTAGAAAAACGCTGGAATCGTATCTTAGATTCCACATAAATTCCAAATACGTAAGAGATATTTTAACTTAAAAAAATGAAACCATATGTATTCTAGAAGAAACCATGAGGTAATTCCTTCACAAGCTTACAGTGGAAAAGGCCTTCCTAACTTTCTAACTATGACTCAAAACCTAAACGCATGAAAGATGTTTCATCAATCAGACTACATACATAAATGTCTGCACGGGAAAACATTAAGCAGAGTCAAAAGTAAAATGAAAAAAAAAAAAAAGTCACAAAGGGTAAATCTCTCTAGCTCGTCCTATACATCAAAAAGAAAAGCAGACAATCCAATTGAAAATAAAAATGGGCAAAGGAAATGGACGGACAGGAAAAGAAGACACAAATGAGTCAAAACACAAACAAGACAGGCAACACACTCACGAAGAACACGAACTTGCTGCACCTATCAGGCTGACCAAAATCCAGTCTGAGAAAAGGACTGTTGGCAAGAGGCACGCGTGCGCCGCCCGTGGGAAACCGTCCCGCGACGGCCAGCGAATTACAGTGCTGTTTCCACCAAGCCGGCAATCACGACTGGGTTGTTCACGCACACACGACATCGAATGTGCTCAAGGCAGCCTGTTTATACCCAAGTGCCCATCCATAAGGAGCTGGAGAAACAGTGCATCCACAGCGTGCACCACACTGCATACGGAACGCTTAGCACGGGGTTAAGAGCACCGACTCTGGGACCACGGAGCCTGGATTTGAATCCCAGCTCATACACTTACTAGCTATGGGATCCTGAACTTGATACGTAACCTTCCTATGCCTCAGTTCTCTGTCGAATGAGAATATGAGCACGACCTGTCCCACGGGGCTGTTAGAAGCATTAAGTTAGGTCGTATTTATCGTATTTATAAACTACTGTGACTAGTGTCTGGCATGTACTAAATGACTTCTAAAATACATCGTTATGAGAAAAAAGCAACATACAGAATACTGTATGGCTTACGATTTCTATATATCAAAACTGAGGGGGTGGGGGGGTGGAAATAAGAAGATATAGTTGTAACTTGGGAAATACGTACAAGAAACTTGAAAAGGCTGGCGGGAGCAACCGGGAGACTGGGGATGTCAGGTGTGAGGGGTTCTGTTATCGTCACTGAGAACCCTTTCCTACTTCTTAAAAAATGTGTTTATATGTAATCTGCTGAAAAGGTTTAATTAACAAAAAGAACTTTCTGAAGACAATCTAGAATTTTATACCCAATCATACTATCAATGAAGTGAGAAAGCAGAATAAAGATATTTTCAGATTGGCAAAGACTCAAAAAAACTCACCTTTCTCAGGAAGCTACAGGAGGATGTGCTCCACTAAATTAAAAAGAATAAACCAAGGGAAAAAGAAACAGGGTATCCAACGGAAGGGAGAGACCATGGAAACTCCCAGGGTTACAGTGAAGGGGGCTCCAGTTCTAAAGTGAGTGTGAGCAGACTTAAGGCACACGCAGCCCAGACAGGACAGAAGGACAGAGGCTCCAGGGCCAACTTCTCTACGGGGGAGGAAAAACAGGAACTGACAGGTTACCTATTTTTGACCACATGGAAAGGTGTTTGATAACTGACAGAGTTTAGAATGAACTGGCGGTAAAACTTTTTTCATTTGCTTAGTTTTCTCTGTAAGATAATTAACTCCTTGAAAACAAAGATTTAAAACAATACAAAAGAAACATAGTTATGATTTACGTGGTGCAGCGATGAACAATATTTACCTTGTTATAATAATGCCCATGCTGAATAAAGACAACTCAAATTCTATGGGTTAACTGGTACGTGTGTGTGTGCGTGCGTGTGTGCACATGTGCGTTTTCAGGTAAGGGAAGGCATCTGAAAGATAAAACATCTTCCATGGGACAAAATCATGAGCTGAGTTAAATATTGGAAAATAATCAGGAAAAAGCACTATAAGCATACGTTTTAGAATAAAGAGAAATGCCAGAAGAGACAGCTAATATCTGGCTCAACATGCTTTCTTCATTCACAAAAATTATTAAAGAAAACACTGAGTCTTTTAACTCTGAAGAAAGTAAGTGGACTTGAATTCTGTGGTCGAAACACTCCCACGCTGTGGACCATCGCCTGCCTCTCTTCACACAGGTAACACTGCTGGCCCCACACTGTGGTCGCAGCATGCGGCTGCGGCGGCCCTGCCCGTCTCTGACGGTTATGCCGTCTCACACACAGCAGCTGCGCTTCTTTAACGTATGATCGACTTGAACTTACAAGCCAGGCCGAACTAAGTGGCAAATAATATAAAATGGTGACGCCTTTCCGATGCCACCAAATGCGACAGCTACCAAGGATGCGCTTTAACAGGACGTAAGAGGCAGGCGACGAGATACTCTGAAGTCTCTGATCTAAATGGACCGGACTTCGAAAAGGAGACAGGGCAAAGGCGGCTCTGACGCTCATGACAGGTTCCCTCGGGAGCAGACCACAACGGAGATTCCCTAACACAGTATGTTTTCTGTACATGCGTGCGTGTGCGTGTACGTGTGTGAGATCAAGGACAAGCACGCCAAGGCTGTGATCATAAAACAGCACCCTACCCATAGGCTGAAGGTCACTGCACATGAGAAGTTTTCTCTTTTTCCAAATAAAACCAGTAAGAATAAGGTATACGCATTCTTATTATGCAAAATAGTGCCTTTGATTAAAAACATTGTAAAATACTGTAAATCCTTACTCCGGCCTCTCATTGATTGTTCCCAATTTTGCTAGAAGCCTAAACAGTCTTCCATTTTGAACCTCCTATAAAACATTTTAAAAAGAGAGAGAATATTAATGTTCCAGCTAACTGAATATAAAAGCAAAAGTTTATAAAAACTCGTATCCTGCACCAATATTACCTTTAAACAATAAATCCTAATATCCCCACCTTTCAGTTATAGTTTTCAATGCAACATGACCGAGTCGGTCAACAGTTAACACTCAAGACTATGCGACTGGCCATTTTTAAGAATTATTCAAGTTAACGTACATTAAAAAAAAAACCTAAGATGATTTTCTTATGTCACTATGGCAAAGCCATGAACAAAAAGAAGCGAACGAATGCCCAGAAAACATGAAATTAAACTACTGAACATTACGCTTGGGCAAAAGGAAGTGTGAACGAGCTCAGCCACGTGCGCACTGTGCTCACACGGTGGTGACTGCTGGGCGCCCCTCGCCCGAGCCGCGCACTCTACCTTCGCCAGGTCCTCCTCTATGACGTCGTTCCTCATCTGGGCAGCATCCAACTGAGTATAAAAGCGAGCACCGATCATGGGCATGATGTCATTGACACTTCGCATCCGGTTTTGGTCGGTCAACAGATACCTGGCCGAAAGAAAGTCGGGTCAGCTGGACACTGAGCACGCGACTCAGAAAAGAACACGACCCACAGGCACACAGCGATCGCAGCCGCTGTCGTACTGTGCGCACGGTTCTGAAAGCATGTTTCATGCGAGTCAAGTTCACTTCCAAAGCCTAATAATTACATCTCTAATAATTACATCTCTTTTCTCTGGAAAATCTCACGAGCCAACGGAGAAAACTTGGACATGACCCTTCCGCTACACTTTTGTCATTCTGAAACTGCGACAAGAACGCTGACCAGGGTCGCCTGCCGGCTCCCTGCTCAAACCCTCTCCACGACGTGGGAGGTGAACAGTGTCACATACTTCTGTGAAGAGGAGAAACGGGGGGTGGTTGTGGGTGCAGAGATTTTTCCACTGCTCTGGATAAATCAAATGAGCTTAGGCTCTTTGGTAAGCTGTCCTCTGCTCTGGTAAGCTTCATTTAGGCTGTCATGGTACCTTCGTTCCTGAGAAATCTTCATGCACAAACTC